GTGTCTGTTATCTTATTCATAAGACGTCTGGAAATACTGTATTTATAAGATGTCTAGAAAAACTGTTCCAATAAGATGTCTAGAAATGATGTATTAATAAGATGTCTAGAAATGCTGTATCAATAAGATGTCTAGAAATACTGTATTAATAAGATGTCTAGAAATTATGTACCAATAAGATGTCTAGAAATACTGTAGCCACAAGATGTCTAGAAATACTGTATCAATAAGATGTCTAGAAATATTGTACCAATAAGATGTTTAGAAATACTTTATCAATAAGATGTCTGGTAATACTGTTAAAGGAACATTTCAGCTTATGACTATTACGAAAGATTGGTCCATCGTTTTTCTTACATCATTTCACATACAGAATGATTGCCATAGAGAATGACTTATCCTACTTGAAGTTAGGAAGCGTATTGAGGCGAACTTTTCCCCATAGAACAATGTTGATGTCTTTGGCTCTAAATCAACACACTTTTTTATTATTAATTACGGGGGGGGGGGCTAAACATTTGACAAAACATGCATAGAGGTAACGCACTTAATAATAGGAAGAATCCCAATTAGAGTTACACCCCCCACACACACACACACTTTTTCCCTCCTAAGACTAGCAATCGCACATTGTTTTTCCTCCCACGCCCCTGAACTAAATGACTAATCTAATGACCCACCCAATTGTGTCACCATTTCAGAGAAACAAAAGAAAACATTGCGCACCCAATTGTGTCACCATTTCAGAGAAACAAAAGAAAACATTGCGCACCCAACACACTTGCGATGGGTTTTTTAGGTTACCGGAAAATTTGTTTGAAAGAAATTTCTTCGACGGAGAATTCATCGACGGAAATTTCATCGAACGGAAATTTGGTCGAATCTTTTTTTTCAGTTCACACGTTAAAATTTTCGTCAAATTTATTTTTGAACGCACTCTACTCTAGAGTAAAACAAAACAATGCGTTCAAACAGAACTTTGACGCAAAATTTTAACGTGTGAACTTGAAAAAAAAAATTAGATTCGACCGAATTTCCGTTCGATCAAATTTCCGTTCTATCAAATTTATGTCCATCAATTTTCAGTCGATGACATTTCTTTCAAACAAATTTCCGGATACATCTTTTTTTTTTAGTTGGGTTAGGGTCGGGTGAAAATCGGAAAGAATGTGTTGTCATCGGCAACGCGTCTATGTGCCAAAATTCAGCTCGCTAGGTTGACGGAAAGTGGGTTAATTACTCGTCCGAAAATTTTGCCACGCAGCCGGTGCGCCAACCAACCAACCAACCAACCAACCAGCCACCCACGAACAAAAGTGAGGATAACATAAGGGTTTAAAAATCAATTTTAAATACAAATGTCCATTCATTTATTGTATTTAACAAATTAGTTGCCAGCTTGGCCATCACATAGAACAGTGTCGTGAAACAGACATGCTTTTAAAAGAAATCAGCCAACAAGCGTTTCATTCTGTACTTATTCATTAGCTCGGCAACCAAAGACATGTATTCCCTGCCTTGGACAAAATAAATTATCTATCGATCGTTCAAGCTAATTCCTCCCCCACCCCCCCCCACCCCTTTTTATCTCGCCGTATTTTCATAAGGAATAAGCTGTTTGCTCAGACGTATGAGGTATGAGTAATTGATACCTTTATAATCACGTAGGTGAGTGATTTAATGGTCACCAGGAGCAATTTTTTTCTTTTTACATTTCGATAACATAACCTCTTCTCTATGGTAGTGGCTACAAAACACACACTACTTGATGAGTTAAAAACTGTGGTCGGCGAAGTGGGATAATTATCCCGAATGGGGTGAAAATGCAAATAATGTCGGTAATGATGGCTCAGGAGACATTAATAAAATGGCATTTTAAGCATGGTATTTTTCCTCATCAATTATTTCTCACGCCATAGTGCCTGTGTGGTGGCCAAACGCACCAAATAACTTGTGGTTACAATTGGCTCGGCCGCTAGCTACCAAGTCTCGTCTTGTTGTATGCGTCATTTGTAACTAGTCGACTATTTTATCCTATGATCAGTGGCGTCATTAGAATTGGCTCCACCCAAAGGGGTAAAAATCATGGTCTCACCCATCAATGAGCTGTCATGTTTCGATGGTAGACAATGAGCTGACATGTTTGCATGACAGACAATGAGCTGACATGTTTCTATGGTAGACAATGAGCTGACATGTTTCTATGGTAGACAATGAGCTGACATGTTTGCATGACAGACAATGAGCTGACATGTTTGCATGACAGACAATGAGCTGACATGTTTGCATGACAGACAATGAGCTGACATGTTTGCATGACAGACAATGAGCTGACATGTTTCCATGGTAGACAATGAGCTGACATGTTTGCATGACAGACAATGAGCTGACATGTTTCTATGACAGACAATGAGCTGACATGTTTCCATGGTAGACAATGAGCTGACATGTTTCTATGGTAGACAACAATTTAATAATCTAACACCATTTTTGTACCTGTCATTTATTGTTTACGAAACGCAGGACTCTTAACTACTCGCTCAACATTGCAATAATTCAAAAACAGGAGAGCTATTATGAGCTCAGACACCCCACTGCCCCCTCTTCCCCCCACCACCCCTTCCCTCCCCATACCTCCCACGGGCCAGCTGGTTGTAAACTCATGAGCCCATTAAATCCGTTTACTCAATTGTTCCCAGCCATAATATTTATGTGCCTCAGCTGGTGTCCGCAATGCGGGGGGAAGGACGTAGGTCACAAGGCGTGTTCAACCGAGAGGCTTACACAAATAAAAGGCTTTTATGGCGTATAACAAAGGTGTGCGTGGAGTGTGGGCTGGGTTGGTTAAACCAGGTGCGTCGGTAAAATAGGATTTTTTTGCTAAACCATAGGTCATGGAAACATAAGTTTGATGGCTAAACCATAAGTGCTCATAACGCCTGGCTGTTGTAGGAATATTAGATCTAGATATTATGACATCATGGGACTAGAATGTAAATGGTGCACTCTGACATGCATAGTGGTGCACTCTTTCATGCATGGTGGTACACCCTGTTATGCATGGTGGTGCACTCTTTCATGCATGGTGGTACACTCTGTTATGCATGGTGGTGTACTCTTTCATGCATGGTGGTACACTCTGTTATGCATGGTGGTACACTCTTTCATGCATGGTGGTACACTCTGTTATGCATGGTGGTGCACTCTTTCATGCATGGTGCTACACTCTGTTATGCATGGCGGTGCACTCTTTCATGCATGGTGGTACACTCTGTTATGCATGGTGGTGCACTCTTTCATGCATGGTGGTACACTCGGTTATGCATGGTGGTGCACTCTTTCATGCATGGTGGTACATCTCTGTTATGTATGGTGGTGTACTCTTTCATGCATGGTGGTTCACTCTGTTATGCATGGTGGTACACTCTTTCATGCATGGTGGTACACTCTGTTATGCATGGTGGTGCACTCTTTCATGCATGGTGGTACACTCTGTTATGCATGGCGGTGCACTCTTTCATGCATGGTGGTACACTCTGTTATGCATGGTGGTGCGCTCTTTCATGCATGGTGGTACACTCTGTTATGCATGGTGGTGCACTCTTTCATGCATGGTGGTGCACTCTTTCATGCATGGTGGTACACTCTGTTATGCATGGTGGTGCACTCTTTCATGCATGGTGGTACACTCGGTTATGCATGGTGGTGCACTCTTTCATGCATGGTGGTACAATCTGACAATCAACTTAGATAACAAATTGATGACGTCTCTTTACTGGATTTCTTTAGATATTATAATCTTCCCTGGGAAAAAAATATTCCTCGCCTGACAATCATTCTTTATTCATGTCATGACTATTTGTAAACTATTCCATTGATGAGCAGCTATTTTCAAGGATGAAACACGCAAAGATGAAAACTAGAACTAAACTATCGGATGAGCCGCTTGAGGACTCACTGAGAATTTCATCTGCTTCCATCGAACCAAATATCAAAGAATTTGTGTCTAAAAGTCAATGTCAAGCATCTCACTAATTTAATATTGCTGTCTAGACTTCTCCTTTTCAATAAAACTTACATTAAATAATAAAGTTTAAATTACATCATTATCCTCATATGTTCTCCGTTTTTGCCCATCAGCTATCGTTAGTGTGAGCGTTTCTTTAATATATGGCCCCAAATCATCTCGCCTTCTTCCACTGTGGCCCAGACAAGCTAGGAGGTTGGACATCCCTGGCCCCAAATCATCTCGCCTTCATCCACTGTGGCCCAGACAAGCTAGGAGGTTGGACATCCCTGGCCCCAAATCATCTCGCCTTCATCCACTGTGGCCCAGACAAGCTAGGAGGTTGGACATCCCTGGCCCCAAATCATCTCGCCTTCATCCACTGTGGCCCAGACAAGCTAGGAGGTTGGAGATCCCTGGTCAGATGTTTTATTCCCCCCGCCACCATTTGTATACATGGCAACAGGCTGAAGCCTTCAAAGGTCCTCCTTTTCATTATAAAAAAAATATCTTTAGCTGAACTTATGGCTTGAGATTAAGATAAGCCACGCATGCGTGCTGGAGGGCCCTCGACTTAACGGTTTATTTTTGGATTGCGTGTACCGTCAATGTATTTTAGGACGGGGGCTGAAAAATGGCAGCGGGGGGGGGGGAGAGGAGACAGTTTCTGTTTAAAACGTCTCCTGATTTTGCGTCCCTGACTCCAGCTGGAACTCTTATTTTCTCACAGTTCTTATGAAATCCATGACAGAGGAGCAACGCAGTTTTGTTTCCTATTCACCATAGTCCCTCATAAAGTGACTTGCATACATTTTAGTGACGTTAAGATAAGAAATTCTAAGAACCCCGCCAACCCCCTCCCTTGATTCGTATCTATAGATGTCCATTTTAATGATGTGTCCTTTTTTTTAGACGTTTTCATTTCTGAACTGATCTCACATTGTTCAAGTTTTTAGGCATGAAATTTAATTTATTTTGACATTTTTCTTTTCCACAGAGATTGGCCTAAGATGGCTGACTGGGCCAGACCAACCTTGAACACCGTGTTAACCCCTGACCCCACCCCGGACGACCCCGACGCCAAGTATCTGTGCGTGGACGAGACCAAGCGTCCGCGCGCCAACTCTGACCCCGTCGGTCTTCACATCCACCTGAACCCCTTGCCGGAGATCACGGTCACGGGGGAGGATGGGCAAGACTTCGACTCCTCCGAGGAGTTGGACAGCTACCTCATTCCTCCGTCTCCGAGACGAAGGGCCAACACCTGCCCCGAAGACATGTTCCTGGCCCGCAAAGGGAGGCCACCCACTCCGCCGCCGACAGATATCCACGCGTTCAAAAGTCCCACAGGAAAACGGTTTTCGTTCAACTTCGCCGCGCGGGATCTGAACGGCGTGTCGTTCACGCATCACAGGCTTAGCAAAGTGGCCGAGGACTCCGTGGATCATGGGGTTACGGACAAGACCAGAGGTTCTCAAACAAACTTCAGACGTAAGAGTGAAACGGAAAGTGCCCTTTCCAAAGTTATCCACGGATAACATCCAGATGTGTTGACTAATTTTTTTTTTTTTAATGTTCTGAAGGGGCAGTAACTCTAAAGAACAATTACCTCATCACAGTCAGTCAACGTACTGGACACTTGAGATTTACTATGAGTGTCATTGGATCTGGTCAAGATTATGCTGTCAGCTCAGTGGTCAATTCTGACAAGAGTCAGAACCAGGAGTTTGTCTAGTGAAAAGACCGGCAACTCATTGCATCTACCAGGGTGGCAGATTATGCTCCTGTCATCATTTCTCTCCCTTAGCTTCACAGCCAATGATATTTCTTTTACCAACGAGCCATAACAGAGTAGATGTAAACAGAGTGAACGAGAGTGGATGTTAACAGCGTGAACGAGAGTGGATGTTAACAGAGTGAACGAGAGTGGATGTTAACAGAGTGAACGAGGGTGGATGTTAACAGCGTGAACGAGAGTGGATGTTAACAGAGTGAACGAGAGTGGATGTTAACAGCGTGAACGAGAGTGGATGTTAACAGAGTGAACGAGAGTGGACGTAAACAGAGTGAACGAGACAGGTATATGGGTCATTTGTCCTTCTGCTGTCCTCATCGAACTTACAACCAAGATGCGTCACCTCCATAACCAGAGTCATACACTAATGTCGTGACCTTACATCATCACAAACACCAATGTAACTACATCATCACAAACACCAATGTAACTACATCATCACAAACACCAATGTAACTACATCATCACAAACACCAATGTAACTGCATCATCACAAACACCAATGTAACTACATCATCACAAACACCAATGTAACTGCATAATCACAAACACCAATGTAACTACATCATCACAAACACCAATGTAACTACATCATCACAAACACCAATGTAACTGCATCATCACAAACACCAATGTAACTACATCATCACAAACACCAATGTAACTACATCATTACAAACACCAATGTTACACAACGTTATTACAAAAACGCCAGTGTGAAATAACATCATTACAAACACCAATGAAACACAAGATCATTACAATGTAACACAACAACATATCATGACTACAAACACAAGATCATTACAATGTAACACAACAACATATCATGACTACAAACACAAGATCATTACAATGTAACACAACAACATATCATGACTACAAACACACGATCATTACAATGTAACACAACAACATATCATGACTACAAACACAAGATCATTACAATGTAACACAACAACATATCATGACTACAAACACAAGATCATTACAATGTAACACAACACCATATCATGACTACAAACACAAGATCATTACAAACAATCTCTCTTCAGAACGTCAACAATCTCTCATCTGTACGTCAACAATCTCTCATCAGAACGTCAACAATCTCTCATCAGAACGTCAGCAATCTCTCATCAGAACGTCAACAATTTCTCATCAGTACGTTTAAAGTTTTCTCATGGTGAATTTTCCCGTTTGTTATAAAGTTGGTTTTCTGATTTCCTATCAACTCTGTCAAATGTACATAACGCATAATTTCTGATCATATCCCCTTCATTGTTTTTGTCACTCACTGGTCATGTGTTTAATTGGCGTGTACTACTTTATGATTACATTTTTTTTTCTTTCAAATCGTTCAACTTTACTTTTATGGCATTGGATTATTACAAACGTTCCCGTTCATTGAATTTTTTAAACAAACAACAAAACAAACAAAAAAACTAAACAAACAAACAACAAAACAAACAAACAACAAAACAAAAAAACAACAACAAACAAACAACAAAACAAACAAACAGCAAAACAAAACAAAAAAAGAACAAACAAACAACAAAACAAACAAACAACAAAACAAACAAACAAAAACAAACAAAAAACATAACATAAAAATTGTAACAGGAAGTTGCTGCATAAGTTGTACATAATAAACAATGATTCATTGGCTTTACAAGTGTGTTTACTTTTAAGTCACGTCACATAATCATCTTGAATGTTTTATTTTATTTGTATGTCACTACATGATTGTATGTCAGTACATGATTGTATGTCACTACGTGATTGTATGTTACTATATGATTGTATGTGAGTACATGATGGTATGTCACTACGTGATTGTATGTTACTATGTGATTGTATGTGAGTACATGATTGTATGTCACTACGTGATTGTATGTTACTGTGTGATTGTATGTTAGTACATGATTGTATGTTACTACGTGATTGTGTGTAACGATATGACTATGTTGCCACATTATGAACATATTGGGTTTATCGTCTCTACAAAACTGACTTAGGATGGTCTCACAACTGCATGTCTTGTCTGACTTAAACTTCAGGGCCAGTCAAGTATTACATTCTAAAGTGACTTGCACTACAGGGCTCGTCAAGTGTTACATTCTGACTTACACTACAGGGCTAGTCAAGTGTTACATTCTGATTTTCACTACAGGGTCAGTCAAGTATTACATTCTGACTTACACTAAGTATTACATTCTAAAGTGACTTGCACTACAGGGCCCGTCAAGTGTTACATTCTGACTTACACTACAGGGCTAGTCAAGTGTTACATTCTGACTTTCACTACAGGGTCAGTCAAGTATTACATTCTGACTTACACTACAGGGTCAGTCAAGTGTTACATCCTGACTTACACTACAGGGTCAGTCAAGTATTACCTTCTGACTTACACTACAGGGTCAGTCAAGTATTACATTCTCAAGTGACTTACACTACAGGGTTAGTCAAGTATTACAATATAAATTGACTTACTACAAAGCCAGTGAAGTATTACATTCTAAAGTGATTTACACCACAGGACTAGTCAAGTATTTCATTCTAAAGTTCAAACCTGAAACTATTTAGAACCAGATGATAATTTGAAGCACTTTGATTAAACTATCTTTAAGTCAAAAAATGTCTTTGATTCCACTATGTTGTAATCAGAACCTGGACAAGTTTTAGAGTAATAGGGAAGAGAATAAAATATCTATTAACTGGCCAAGCAGAGACGGACAAGCAGGCTTGAGGCAAATTAAATCCTGCGTGGACCAAATATCAACTGGACCGAATATACACTGGACCAAATATCTACTGGACCAAATATCAACTTCACCAAATCCCCACTGGACCAAATATCTTCTATTCGAATTACGATTGAACAGTTCAATGAATAGAATTATAGTCTTTTCAGTAAATTTACAGATTTGGAAAAAGTAATTTGAAAGTTCTCAAAGAGAAATTTTGTGTAAGCTATTGAATCATTATAACATTCCACAAAAAATAACAGATATAATTATTATTTAAAAACACATTAGATACTATTATTAGTTTCGGTGTTATTCATGAGGTGAAACTAATCGAGTCAGTCTATCGAGATAGAGTCTAGGGTACTGTCTACTATCACCATTAGAGTCGGGCTGTGTGGCAGGGCTTTCTACTATCATCAACAGTCGGGGGTGTGGCAGAGCTGTCTACTATCACCAACAGTCAGGAGTGTGGCAGAGCTGTCTACTATCACAAACAGTTAGGGGTTTTGGCAGAGCTGTCTACTATCACCAACAGTCAGGGGTGTGGCAGGGCTGTCTACTATCACCAACAGTCAGGGGTGTGGCAGAGCTGTCTACTATCACCAACAGTCAGGGGTGTGGCAGAGCTGTCTACTAACACAAACAGTCAGGGGTGTGGCAGGGCTGTCTACTAACACAAACAGTCAGGGGTGTGGCAGGGCTGTCTACTATCACCAACAGTCAGGGGTGTGGCAGGGCTGTCTACTATCACCAACAGTCAGGGGTGTGGCAGGGCTGTCTACTATCACCATTTCTCCTAATCATAGCTAGAGACTAGATCCTGAGAAATAAATAAAAAGTGAAATACATAGAAAACAATGGGTTCTATTAAGACACCGAGAAGATTTGCAGATTTCAAATGCCTTTATCACGAAGTCGTAAACAAAAGCAAGACAGCACTTCAAAGTTTTGTAGAATGTCCAAAAGATTGTGCAACACTTTAAAACTTGACTCATTACCCAGACAAATGGAAAAATAAATGAAAACAAACCAAAATGAATAAGAATAATCTCTAATAGCACAGACGTTGTACTAACTAGGACGTATAGTCGGCAAGGAAATGAGATCAGAGGCAGATATCGAGGACTTATAGTTAGAAAGGTAACATGATCAGAGGCGGATATCTTGGAAATGATATCTTAGGCTTTATATCGAGACAAGAATACAGACGATTAGAGAAGCGTTTGATTTCCTTAAAAAAAATATTTGGAAAGTTAAAAAACAAGGAGATGGACTAACAGTCAAAGTTTTAACTACGTGTTAAGACACTTAACACAACATTTTTAAAAGACTTCAAATCCTGAGTAATATCTGCCTGCGTAGAATCCTTCACATCACATGGCTGCCTGCGTAGAATCCTTCACATCACATAGCTGCATGCATAGAATCCTTCACATCACATAGCTGCCTGCATAGAATCCTTCACATCACATGACTGCCTGCATAGAATCCTTCACATCACATGGCTGCCTGCATAGAATCCTTAACATCACATGGCTGCCTGCGTAGAATCCTTCACATCACATAGCTGCCTGCATAGAATCCTTCACATCACATGGCTGCCTACATAGAATCCTTCACATCACATGGCAGCCTGCATAGAATCCTTCACATCACATGGCTGTCTGCGTTGAATCCTTCACATCACATAGCTGCCTGCATAGAATCCTTTACATCACCTGGCAGCCTGCATAGAATCCTTCACATCACATGGCTGCCTGCGTAGAATCCTAAATATCACATGGCTGCCTGCATAGAATCCTTCACATCACATGGCTGCCTGCGTAGAATCCTAAATATCACATGGCTGCCTGCATAGAATCCTTCACATCACATGGCTGTCTGCGTTGAATCCTTAATATCAAATGGCTACCTGCATAGAATCCTTCACATCACATGGCTGTCTGCGTTGAATCCTTATATCAAATGGCTACCTGCATAGAATCCTTCACATCACATGGCTGTCTGCGTTGAATCCTTAATATCAAATGGCTACCTGCATAGAATCCTTCACATCACATGGCTGCCTGCGTAGAATCCTAAATATCACATGGCTGCCTGCATAGAATCCTTCACATCACATGGCTGTCTGCGTTGAATCCTTAATATCAAATGGCTACCTGCATAGAATCCTTCACATCACATGGCTGTCTGCGTTGAATCCTTAATATCAAATGGCTACCTGCATAGAATCCTTCACATCACATGGCAGCCTGCATAGAATCCTTCACATCACATAGCTGCCTGCATAGAATCCTTCACATCACATGACTGCCTGCATAGAATCCTTCACATCACATGGCTGCCTGCGTAGAATCCTAAACATCACATAGCTGCCTGCATAGAATCCTTCACATCACATTGCTGTCTGCGTTGAATCCTTAATATCACATAGCTGCCTGCATAGAATCCTTCACATCCAATTGCTGCCTGCATAGAATCCTTCACATCACATTGCTGTCTGCGTTGAATCCTTAATATCCCATAGCTGCCTACGTAGAATCCTTCACATCCAATTGCTGCCTGCATAGAATCCTTAATATCACATAGCTTTCTGTGTAGAATCCTTAACATCACATTGCTGCCTGCGTAGAATTATTAATATCCCGTAGTTCCACAAAATCCCAAATACTTCAATAGTAGAAATGACTGCACAAATCCTATTTGGGCAAAATTTAGGAGAAGAATTTGAAATAATTAAGCCACACGCGAAGAAAGCCGACGCCAACTAAAAAATTTGGTTTCGGAATCCATGGAACCCTTTTGCATCACGTGGACGGTTAGACCGATCAACAACATTTAGTGCACTATAGGACTAACATCTAGTGGATGGTTAAACAGATCAACAACATCTAGTGCACTATAGAACTAACATCTAGTGGATGGTTAGACATATCAACAACATCTAGTGCACTATAGGACTAACATCTAGTGGATGGTTAGACCGATCAACAACATCTAGTGCACTATAGGACTAACATCTTGTGGATGGTTAGACAGATCAACAACATCTAGTGCACTATAGGACTAACATCTAGTGGATGGTTAGACAGATCAACAACATCTAGTGCACTATAGGACTAACATCTAGTGGGTGGTTAGACAGATCAAAATCTAGTGCACTATAGGACTAACATCTAGTGGATGGTTAGACAGATCAACAACATCTAGTGCACTATAGGACTAACATCTAGTGGATGGTTAGACAGATCAACAACATCTAGCGCACTATGGGACTAACATATAGTGGACTTGTAGAACCAAACAATCCAGAGGACGGGTAGGATTTAAAACATCAACAAGACGCGTAGTTAATTACCCAAAACATCAAGAAGACGGTTAGGACCCAAAACCTCCAAAGGGCGGGTAGCTAGTTACTAATAACATCAAGAGGACTTTAGGACTCAAAACATCAAGAGGCAGGGTAGGACCCAAAACATCAAAAGGACTAGTTGGACCCAAAATATCAAGAGGACAGGTAGGACTAAAACATTAAGAGGACGGGTAATTAGTTACTATTAAACATCAAGAGGATGAGTAGGACTCAAAACATTAAGAGGTCGTGTAGGACCCAAAACATTGAGAAGATGGGTAGGGCCCAAAAAATCAAGAGGACGAGTAGGACCGAA